GCACGCGCTAGTCGCCGCCGCCTGCAGCTAAGAAAGCCGGGAGTCGGGGAGGCCCCGGTTGGCCCAGGCCGCACCGCCGAAAAGCAGCACCAGGCGCGGGGAGCGCTTTCGGCCCCAGACCCAGACCCGCTGCGCCCTGCCCCGCGCGGGGCTGCTTCGGGGAGCCTCCGGCGGTCGCCGCGCCCCGCAGGCGTTCGAGGCCGCGCCGGCGCTTCCTTCCCCGCTGACGGAGGCCTTGGGTGCGAGCGAAGGCCGTCCTCCCCAGGTTCTGCCGTCCACGATGTCTCTTTCTCGGTAATAAAAAGGCCCGCTCTTGCCGGAAAAGGGCTCGAAGACGCAGAGACCTGGGCGAGAGTGGGCGAAAGGGAAGGCGGCGAGAGAAGGTGCGAGGAGCAAGTGGCACAGGGTGGCGGAAAGTCTCCGGCTCGGTCCTCCGGCGAAGCAGAGCCACCGCGGGGTCTTGCAGTGACTCGTCTGCCGTTGCAGGGGTCGCCCACGAACGCGGGGCTAGGTAGGCGTGGGGCTGGGCGGCGATAGACTCGGGGGTCGCGTTGGAGGCGACCGCCGCGATGCAGTTGCGAGCTGGCGGGGCTTGCCCGAGGTGCTCCCGGCCGCGCGGGCAGGAAGTCGGAAGTCGGCCAGACTCTGCATGTTTTAGAGGCAAAACCATACAACGGGCCGGCAGGACTCTCGCCAAGTTGCCCAGGCGGGTCTCGAACCCGCGGGCTCAGGCCCTCCACTCGCCTCGGCCTCCCCCAGGCGCGGGATGACAGGCTGAGCCACCGAGCCCGGCTGGAAATTTGGTTTTACACACGCAGAATCTGAGGAGGACCCAAACACCAGGATTTGTGTGTACAAAATTGTAAGGCCTCCCTGTTTGACACAATATCCTTTCTTCACTGCTCAGTTCAGCTTCCGAACTCATCGGTTTTGATGCCCTTTAGTGCTTCTGCTGTTCTTGGTTTCCCCTCTTCCACACCGGCAAAGCGTTTTCCTTTGAGGACCTTTTCATCCGCAGTAAGCCACAAAGCGTTGTTTGGGGGAGACGGGGCGAACAGGGAGCGTGGGGCACGGGGCCGTGCCATTCCGCGGTCAGAAATGCCCAACACTCAGGCCGGTGTGGGCAGGTGCGGGCAGATGCCTTGTCACAGCGGAGAACCAGCCCCCCGTTTGCCACGGTTCAGGGTGTTTCTTCGCACATCGTGAGGCAGCCTTCTCAGAACTTCCAGATAAAAACTTGGGTTGACTGATCCGGAGGAGCAGACTGGGAGTTTGCTACAAGGAGTCCGCCCTGCAAAAGATAATTCTGGGTTTTTTTGGTGGCAGGGGGTCCCCTCTGGCCAACACCCATATATATATGCAGTGCTTGTGTAATGGAAGTTTGTATGTGTGTCCGTCTGTGTGCGGCATATGCAGGAGTCTGGCGTTCGGAAGAGAGGTCAGCTAGAGATGCCATTTTGAGAATTGTCAGCATGCAGATGGAATTAATCTTTAAACTACAGAATTAGATGAATGAAGGTCAGCAGAGCCTATATGTTTGGGGCCTCAATGTTCTAATAAAGTGAAGTAAACAGTGCAAGAGTAACCCAGTAAGAAAATCCAGATCGCGATAAGAACTGTGAGGGCACCAAAACGCAATCGATTGCATTGAGTATTAAATGGAATATGTCTTGGATCTGGAAAGGATGGCCATAGAAGTGGATGTTAATTTTTCCTGATAGGACCACGGTACACACATAAATTGTGGTGGAAGGAAAGGTACCATATTACCAGCTATGGCTTCTATTCTCCCTCCCTTTTTTTTCTTTTCTTAAATTTTCATTAATATTAATTTTTAAGTAAAAAATTTTTAAAAATACCGTATACCGTCTGAATGAGAGTAAACTTCCTTGGCAGTTGACTGTTGCAGGTAAAAAAAAGTCTAGGGATTTTATTTACGTTTATATTCAGCATAACCAAACAGTGTAATATGCTTGTTTAAGTAGCCTCAAGCGACCAGAATATTTATATTTTATGCCACAGAGTGTTTACCAGGTATTTACAGCGTATCATCTTGCCAGAGCAGAAGATACCGGTTCCGCCAAGCTGTAAGCCCGCCCGTTCTACGCAAAGGCAGCACGCTGGAAATAACATGTTGGATGTCGGGGCCCACATTGTAAAGAGGATGTCGCGGAAACTGGGCTCGAATAAAGCGGAAAACGGCGCGTCGTGGAGGCCCCGGGGCGCCTTTCCTCGGCGGCTGGCGGGCGGCGTTCGAAGAGGGCCGTGGGGAGGGCCGGGCCGGCCCGCCCC